TTGCCTGTGATGTCAGATCCATGCACAGACATGGAGGTACCAGGATGGAGAAAGCAGCAATGGCAACTCCAGACATCCTGGGTGCTCTCCTGGGGTCCATGATCACCCGCTGACACATCCCTGACAGGCAGCTGCTGTCACAAACAGCCGCGAAAGCAAAAGATTCACCGAATAAATACGGGTTTAAATAGACCAATTCCTGCACAGGTCACTTCACTTCCACACGTCCCCACCAGGGACTGGCAATTCAGATCTGGAGCAATAAATCACCTCGGGCTGGCAAGAATAACGGCCCAGAGCTCACGAACACAAAGAATGCATTTAATCCTTTTCTGTTGCTGTGGTGAGCAAACAGAGCGTGCCCGGCACATTAGGCAGCTTCTTGTGTTAATGTATTACCTATAATTATTTGTAGAACAAAATGGAGACCAGTGGAGTCAGTCCAGGTATTCACCATTCCCTGCAGCCAAAGGGCTCCCAGGAATTATCATCTTCCCAAAGTCTTGACAAATAGAGAATTAAAGGACAAAAGGGGTTTGTTTCCAAGTGTTTTAACCAGAACCACATACGTCCTGAATACATGGTTACACACAAGATCTTACAGGAGAAAAAGAATGAAAAAATTTCTGGACAGATCAAAAATCCACCTTTATCCTTCTTGGCCTGTGCAGAGGCTTCTGTGTTTGCAAGGGCCCTGGGCATCAACATTACCCATCTCAAAGTCTTTACATCTGCTTCTTTTACAACATGTCACTGGTCCATGGTGCCTCTCATCCAACACTCTCAAACCACCTCTACAACTAATTAACCAAGCACACTGTTTTACAAGGATTAAATGAAGTAATTCCTGACATACAGTGTTATAGAGGTGAGCAGCAGACTCCAAACACCAGCTCAGTGCAGGACACATTTCAGACATGTCCCAAACAGACCAGCCTATGTGCTCAGCTGTGCTGGCAGAGATCACACATTGAATATTTATGAATAAGAAATTGGGAAGAAGTTGCCTTTTCCAAGAACATGTGTGAAAACAAAGCATAGTTACATTTAATTAATAAATTACTAAGCTATAATATTCTGATCGGACGCAACAGAAGGTTGGACTTCAGCAGAGATTTTTGGTAACTTCCCTGGACTTCCCCAGCCTGTTGCAGTTTGGTCTGAAAGGAAACCCCACCAGGCTGGTTTGGAAGGTACCATTTCTATAAAAAAGTGTCCCCTGAAATTGCTTCTGTGCAGCCAATGTGCTCAGCAGTAACTACCAAGGAGTAAAAAGGCCAATACAGCATCAGTGTAAGTAGAAAGGCAAAAGGTATTCAGAGAAAAAGTAAAAAGGGGAATAAGTTAATGTCAATCCAGGCTTTACAAACATGTGTCAAGGGTTCTTCTCTTACTTTCCATCTGCCATAAACAGAAGAAAGAAACATTCTAGGGTGGAATAAAAATGAGCAAAGGAAGAAAATAACATGTGTGCTAAACCCATTCCTCCAAAGCCTCGGTGGCATTTCTCTGCCGCAGCACTGCACATCTCTGCAGGCTCGAGCCAGCGAGAGGATGCTGGGTTACTTCACTCTCATAGCATGAACTCGTACTCCTTGCTATTCTCAATCTGTCACATTCAACAATCACATGTGAAAATGACTCAGGCTGCCAGTTGTCTCCATGTTGTGCTCGTTGAGCATTTGCCAGTTCCTCAGGAGTAGGCTTGATATTGAAAGCCACACTTTGGGAAATGTGATTTAGCCTCAGCCTGCTGCATTAGGCTCAAACATTATGATTTGTTGTTTTTTTATCCCACAACTTTTTGTCTTTTTTTTTTTTTTTAAATCTCACAGACCAACAATTCTGGACACAGAGGAAAAAACCAGCAGGTTAGATCAGTGGCCTGCTCAGCTTGGCATTTTGCCCCTCCTGGAGGCATTTATTCAAAGTGCTAATATCTCAGAAGGAGTGGAAAAGCCTTAATGTACCACCCCAAACACCAGCTGTAAACACTGGGCAAATTTTCTTCCTGTCACCTGCAGTGATCACCTGGGAAGCAGGCAATGATTTTCACCTTTTTTTCTGAGCAAGAGCTGTGGGAAGCAGGCAATGATTTTCACCTTTTTTTCTGAGCAAGAGCTGTTCCGTGGTGCAGCCTTTTAGCTGCAGACACTGAGTCACCCCCTCCCCTCTGCAGCAGCAAATACCCTTCAGCCCACTGAGGTCTCCCCATGCTTGGAAAAAAACCTCTTCCAGTCTCATAATCTCAGCTCCAACGCCTGCCATCAAAACCTTCAAAAAGAAATTACAGCCCCAAGGATCTGTACCGTGGCCTCCTCTGGCTGCAGGGGCATCCTATGGTGAGCAGCTCACAGACATGTACATGCCTACACTTATTTAGGTTGTTCCCCCTCTCTGCAAACCTAATGTCCTAAGGAAAGTATTTTGTCAATTCAGATAATACAGAAATAGCCACACTTAACGACCAGCTAAATTTATTCAGTCATTTTGTAATTTATTTTTGTAACCACCAATGAAAAAAAGGAAAAAAGAAAGAATAGTAGGCCTATAATAGCCTCAGGATTAAAGTGTACTTTATAAATTCTCTGGAGGGTTTTTTTTCCCCACTAGAAACTGTCCTCAGCCAAAATTCTTCAGATAAATAATGATCTCCTATACAATACATTCAGCAGTGAGGACATTCAACATCTTGGAAATGTGAAGCACGTAGCAAAACGAAGACTATGTATAACTGTAGTTGGAAATTGTGTGAAGTTACTTACTGTTATATAAGCAAAATTTAGGCCTAAGATTTGATGCAATAAATAATAAAATTAAAGAGATCAATTCCAAAATCTTCATGCAACCATTTTATTGCTATTCAAAGTAATTAATCTGAGTTACAAATTTACAAAAGGTAAACAATAAATCACTCATTCTGTCCCATGAAAGCCACAAGTAAGGTCATGGGAATGACAAACAAAGTTTTCTATGTCTTCTAATAATGTAGCAAACGGATTTTTATTCAGGAAGCCTCTAAAACTTCCCCCAATTACACAGATAGCTGTCTGAAAGCATACGGTTTGTGTAAAGACTGCGTGTACCATATGCACGTATCACTTCACTTGCCACTGAAACAGTTGTGTCATGGGTGGAATGTGGCAACTCTACCCACACACAGTAATGTGATACAACAGATGAAGATAGTGGAAAGCCGTGAAACTGCATGGAGAAATTTAAGTAGATTGAGTCCATCTCTACTTCAATGGGAATTAGATCAGGCCCCAAATGAGAATTTATGCATGACAGCTGGATTAACATATATATTTCCTGAAAGACAGTACCTTTATAAACTGAAGAGTTCCATAGTGTCACACTGGAGCATTAGTTCATTTTTTATTAAGAGAGAAAGCATAATTTTGTAATTCACGGTAATTTCCTCCAGGACATCGGTCTCCTTAGTTATCTCTTTTGAGTCCTGATCCTACTTAATTTGCAAGGGATGAGACTGCAGCAGGGACAGCTTAGTGTATATTTGAGTTATAGTCCTCATATATTCTGGTTCATGAGCAGGAAGCAGTGCAAGCGTGAGAGGCCCAATTAAATTAAAAGTTCAGCAGTCCTCCATTTCAGCGAACGGTCAGGCGACGAATGATTACAGTATTATTGCATTTTCTTACACAAGAAAAACTGCACACCCTCTTTTTTCTTTTCTTTTTTTTTTTTTTTTTTAAACCATGCCCAGTCGGCAGCGCCCTGCCCTCCTGATCCACGGTGGGAAATCCTGGCACTCTGGAAGGCTGGAGCCTCCTACCCATGGCAGGAAGCTCCATCAGACACGCAGTGCCACGGCGGGGGGAAGCGCGGGAGCACAGATGGGATCAGCTTGCAAGTAAATATGTTTCTGCTGCTAGGGAGAAGCGTAGAAAGCAACAGTGAATAAAGATGAAAAATAAGATGCTGACAGAAGAAGGGGAAAAAAAAACCCGCCAAAATGGGTACAAAGGGAAGAGGGTATGGTAGAAAAGACCAAAAATCTGGATGGGTTTGTTTGAGCACTTGCTTTCCACTAATGAGAATTCTTCCATCTTACATCAATAACACCATTATTTGGCATTTAACCTCTAAGTTGTGACTCCATAACTGGGCATTCAGGTTTTCATAGCAATTTGCTCTATTCACTCACATACATAAAAGCTCTTGCTGTGAAAGGCAAAGCCTTGTGCTCCTTTTGCAGAGCTCTGAATGCAACCAGGAGCTCTGCCCACATAATGAATGCACACAGGTCGTACCTTTAGCTTTTTCTTTCATGTAATCAACTTTGTTTTTTATATAAAAAGATGGATACCTTCTTGGAGACAGGTGACCGAGAGTTGGAGAGGTGATTCTAGAGACAAAAATCTGTAAGAATCAGTCTGTATCTAAAAAATGGCAATGAGGTAAACAACATCATGGTTCATAAATCCAGCTTCTTAACAGCATTCAGATTTTAATATTTGATTAGGACAAGTAAGAATTAAGACATTCTCAGATCTGTTACTTCACTGCTATAGCATAGCACAAATGCACACACTAGAATACGTTAATGACTAAATGCTCCACAGACCTGGAAACCTGAGGTAGAGAACAAGATTCATTTTAAACTGCTACAATCCTGATAACAGATCAAATATCTAAATAATTAGAATAGTCATCTAAACATGGTATACAAGTATCTCAGGTGGTGGCAGTGTTAAATAGTAGCATAGCTGGCAAAAAGGAGTTAGAAACTCTTCTCTTGCTATGGAAGTCTTCCTACTAAAATGCAGTTATTTCTAGAAAGAAAGCTTTTGATCTTATTCAGTTTCTTTTTAAGCACTTAGTCTACTTTTGTCTAACAATGGATATTAAAGTCATTCTAAGGCTGCAAAGCCCTTACCTACAAATTGTGCCATTCCAGGATTAAAATTCCTGAATTCATCTCTGTTGTGGATATGCACAAGGGGAGTTTTCAATTACCTTTTTACATACAAGTCTTCTGGAAACCACTGAACTCCATTCCATGCAGAGGAAAGCAGGAATATTAATTGCCTCAATGCTTTCTGTATGGAGCTTTCACTGTAGTTTTAATGCTCAATAAACATCAAAGATTTATCTTTACTATCCAGCTGTGACAGAAGATGCTCTTACATTCACTCTGTAGATGGAGAACAGGCCATAAAACTTAAGGCTGAAATCATTAAAAATGCAATGATTTCAGAAGCACAATATGAGTGCTCCAAGTCCTCATTTTTCAGAGTACCTGTCATTTTAGGCATATCCCACGTTCAGAGCAGTTATCCCACTGATCTCAACTGCCATGGAAGCTATCCTGCAGTTTCCTGTCTCTACCTACATAGACTAAAAGTGTAGAACATAATTAAGCTCTGCCCTCCTATTTGGGATTCCTCTCCTTCTTCTCCCAGTTACTCCCTTCTTTCCTCCTCATTATCTCCCCTACTTTACCATAACTCTGCTCGATTCATTTCCTGCCTCCAGTTACTTTGGTTTTGTCACATTTGGGCACAGAAGGGGGGGGAGCAGAGAGGACTGAGCCTTTCCTTGGCCACCTCTTCCGTGACCCCAGACACATGAGCTTCCATAAGCCATGACACCTCTGTGCCTGTTCTCTGGGGTGATGGTGTATGAGCCGTGCAGGATGAAGATATGCCTTTTACTACAAAGAACTTAAAAGTCAAACAAGCCTCTACTGTGCAACTGTACACAGATATTTTAAGAGTATAACTTCACCAAATTTGGCAATTTAAACAAAGCAGAAAGTACCATAGCTCAGCCACAAAGATAACTCTCTACCACAAGTTTCACATCCCTCTGTCAGTGCACAGAGGCACCAGGACCTCGAACCAGCTGCAAGTGTTGGTGAGATGGATCGAGTGGCTCTCCCTGAGGCCTCCCAGACATGGCTCCAGCCTCAGATGTGTGTAACAGAGGAGATGGTGGGGATGCTAAAAGTCTTTAAACTACTCACAGCAAATACTTCTATCTCCAGCTGTAAGGTCAGAAACGTTGTAGGACATTCACCTTCATCATGTGGGACACGTGATTGTGTGCCACAAGTGAGATTTGGCCCAACTGAAGGCCTATTGCACAGCACAGAAAGGCTTTTCTTTTTAGGGTTAATGAATGAAAACTTATGCTCAGAGTACGGTAACCTTAACATTGTGCTTTAAAAAGTGACTAATTTCTGCTCTAACCTGGCTGTCTTTCACAGCAGTACTGTCCCAAACTCGGGACTACGGTGCTCCGTGAGACATGGCAGCTCCTGAGACGTATGGAAACTGTCATGGGCAGGTAAAAGATTAATGGGAAAGGCTCTCTTTTGATTGATGAATCTGTGACCTTGAGCAACAAGAGCACTTGCACCAAGTATATCTGCCATGCGAGACAGACAAAATGAAAGAGGCTCATGTTACACTCTCAGATCTCATTAAACACCCAGACCAGAAACACCGATACTGGCACTGGCCATCTGCTCTGCTGTTTGCCTGGTCTGATAACACTTTCAGGGAGCAAAAGTTAATCATATGTACAGATGAGCAGCAGCACTTCTGCACAGGAAATTCAGTAGAACATAACAGTTTCTAAAAAAAACCCCCACATACCTGTTTTTACTTCATTCTGTTGTTTCAAACCACATAAGCTGGCAGTTCAAAGAAGAATTGTTGACATAAAAGACCATAACTTTAGGCTCTTCAAATATTGCTGGTTTTTTATAAACAACTTGTAGCGTTATCATAAAGTTCATTAACTTGTAATCTGCCAAATTGCTGTGACCTCCTGTTACTCTGTGTAACAGGCAATAATATAATACAGAATTATTTTTAATTGCTTTTAAATTATTTCCCCTAATGCTCTTTTTTGCTTATCTCAGTTATTTGAGAATTACAGTATTTTCTGCCATTTGTTCTCCACTTGCAGCAATGAAGGCCCTTGCCAGTAGACCTTTCCATGTCTAATGTAATATTACCCCAGCATCCATCCCTGAGGAATGAAGTTTCCCTGCAAGCGTTTTTTGAGAGACTTATGATCAACTAAATTTTCTTTGCTGAGCAGCAATTCCTGGAAAATCCTGCAACGTATTCAAAGACTTTCCTACTGCTTTTGGAGAATTAGCTCTGGGCAAAATGATATAGTCTATTGAGGCCATATCTGACCCAGAAAGTATTAACTGAAGAATGTGCAGGACAGCTGCTTATCGGAAAGAAAAGACATGCAGTGCAGGAGAATGACATGTAGAGCTACTCGAGGTAGTTCTGAATGACTGTCAGCTCTCCAGAGCCAGCCAAGCCCGGGGAGCAGATAGGATATTCTGCCAGAGCCTGTGCACATCCGTAATGGAGCAGGCTCGGGTATCTCCAGCACAGGACTGCACCATGCGGCGAGGAGATAGTTTATCATCCGAGAGCATTTCAGATATATGATCTGATAAGGCTGAACAGAAATCTGAAGTATAGCAGGATTATTTCCAAAAAAGTGTCAAAGGGCTCAACCTTTCTGTGGAGGATGTTCTGTGAGCAGGTTTGGTCTGCAGCAGGCCAGGGTCATGTTTTTCAAAGCACTGCCCTCGCTGGTTTGTGGTGGTGCTCCTCAAAACTCGACCAGGTACCATTCTCCCTTGAATTATGTTAAAAGACAATGCCTTGTTTGCACAACAGTGTAAGTGCTACTTATTTCCAGCTACATATCCAGTTATACCTAAGCAGAAGAGCCTTCAATTCTTACTCAGCTTTCCCAGACCAGAAACAGGGTTCTATATGTGGGACAATGCCTTTTTCTTTACTATTCCTTTGGATGAGGTGGTGTGCTCATTTGCTGCTGCATCACCAATGCTTGAACATTTTAACTCTCTGAAAAACTGAGGAAATCCTTGATTTGGAAGTCATTATTTATGATTTATGCTAACACTACACCATGGATGGCACTTCCCCACCACCATCTCCCTTAGCATCTCTCATCATACTGTAAAGTCTTTTTACATAGGGACAGTAATAACAACATTTAACAAGAACATGCTTTATTTTTCTAAATATCTTTGTTTGCATCCATTAATCTGTTCAAGGGAGAACATTACACGAGCCACAACCTGAGTTTCAGAAAGGTGCTGCTGGGCAATTCTGGGGGACATTTCACGGTAAACATTGTTTCTGAAAATGTCACAGCAGAGGATCCGAGGCCCTGGCTTGCCAGCGAAGACACAAACGTAGAAAATTTATTCCCTTTCCTAAAAAGCATCCAGGCCCACCACCCGCACCGTGCCTGAGCTCATCCACCGCAAGGCTGAGCTCCCGATTTGGGCTTTTGCAGGAGAATTTTTAAAAGTTCTTTTCCAATCAAGCGGCTATTTCCATTCGCTCCTGCTCGGAACCCTTTCCCTGCCATAACACCGCTCGCACCGGTTTCGTGACGTTACTTTCACCCACTTCCCTCCCCCTTTCCCCGGTTCCCGAGGCCGTACCCCAAAATCCCCCCCAAACTCCTCCCTCCTCATTCCCCCTCACCCCTCCCCGGCGCTGCTGCGCCCCCTCCCGCGCTCCTCTCCGCGGCCGCGCAGTGCGGGCGGCCTGGGCAGGCGGGGCGGAGAGAGGGAGAGGAGGAGGAGGAGAGGAAGGAGGAGGAGGAGGAGGAGGAGGGGGGCTGGCCCGCCCGCAGCCGCCGCCGCCGCCAGCGCCGCCATGATGCTTGTTTGCTTTCAATGAGTGTGAGGAGGAGGCGGGGGGGAGCCGCTCTCCCGTCCGGCCCGCGGCAGGAAACAAAGAGCCAGGCAGGCGGCGGAGCGAGGGCGGCGGGGGGACGGGGATGCTGCAGCCACAGGTAGGGGCGGCCCCGGCGCCCGGCCCGGAGGGGAGGGGGCTCAGCCCGGGGGGGGCAGCACCGCGGGGGGGGGGGGTGCCG